TTGTTTATTACCATGGATGTATATCAACCTGAAAGGACTTGTTTGCTGGTAATTATAAACATCACAATTTCAGTGTTCTTACAAGTAGTTGGAGTGTGTTACCTATAGATTATATCATTTAACCTAGGATTTTAATTATTTGTAAATGTATCTACATTTTAATCAACTGTTTAAATAATGAAGTAACTGCTTATTTTATACAAGTCTCTTTTCCATAGGTAACAGTATGAGTGTTTTTGGGCTTTTAAATACTTTAGCCCTGCAAATGTCTTGGGAGAGATCATTTCAGCATTTTACTACCCTAAATATGCATCCTTAGGTAGCCAATGGCAAGTTAAGCAGCTAATTAGGAGCTGGATATCAAACTACTTTCAGTGGGTCTGGCTCATAGCACACTTAGTATTACAGGCCACTAGCTTGGGGAATAAGGTATCTAACAGTGACTTCCCCCTCCAGTATCCTGGAAGTATGCATTACCTTGTCTTATTATGCTGTTTATCACTTTTTGGCCAATTTCTGGGCCATATCACTTGTTCTGTAAAAGCTAGCCTTAATTACACTTACTGAAATTCTGAAATAATATCAAATACTTATTAATCATTCCCATTCTTTCATCTAGCAACTGCTTTTAGATATTACAGATTGATTTACTTGCTGCTGTTATACGTTCAGATAACAGCTTTTTGTTACATCTGAGTAGCATTCCAGTTTACATTTTGTTTACACATATCAAGGAATAATAACCATCACTTCTGTGATCTTGTAAAGCTTGCAATATTTTAATTATAAGGCTTAATTTGGCCAATACATGTACAAGTTATAAAGTATTATTTATCTAACGTTTTTTGTTTGTAAACCTATTCCGATTTTAAAGCATCTCGTGCATTATTTTTAACTTCTGAAGTGCTAATGAACTTTTAGTAGTTTTACTTAACTTACATACAGTTGATTGGTTGGGGTTTTTTTTCCCAAGCACTAAAATAGAAATTATTGTCTTTTATCAAGAGCTCTTGAAGCATTGTTTTCAACCTTTTGGTCCAGCAGAGAACTTTTTTCTCATTTAGAAATACCCAAATTTTTATTTGGCCAAAGCAAGGGTGTTTCGTAAAATGCTTTGTTTTCTTGCCACAAAAACTCTAGGAAGCCCTGTTACGAAAGAAATGCTGTCAAGTGGCTTTCCTCCTGCCTTTATCAGTGATGTTCAATAACCATTCAAAACTTACAGGGTCAGGTAAGAGCTTTCTTAATAGAGCAGTGACATTATTTCTGGTTAGCCTCCGGTATGTTATATTTGCTGAGAGCTCCAGTGCATTTTTCATATTTTTTTTTTGTTTGGTTTGGTTTGGTTTTGTGGTTTTATCATCTTTTACAGAAGGGATTTTTGTTTTAAGTTTAGTTTAACAAACTAAATCTGCTAATGGATCCACTGAGCAGTTACTCAGAAGTGTTTGCTAATGTGTTTTGCTTTAGGAAAACATCCAAAATAATTGGATTGAGAATGCAGCATGCAAAGTATTTTTCCAATACCAATATTTGGAAAATCTATATGTGAATGGTGCTGTACGCTCATTGTTGCATATATGTGTATGTTTTAAGCTACAACAGCTTAAGTGAACACTTCAACACAACAAAATAAGTACTTGAAGACAGAAGAAGAATGAGCAACTCTGAGTGCTTGGCATATACGTTAGAACTTCAGAATTAAACCTTTACTTGCTTGATAATTAAGCTTGGGGGGGGGATTCAGTTCAGTCTTTTAAGTATTGTTACTGCGGAGACTTGTGCGTGTGAATAACACTTAATGGAAGTGTTCAGGCAGCTAAAATTAGGCATGTTCTTCAGTCCTTGCAGGATTTGGACCTCTGATTCCTTAATGTTTGTATTCTTAAGAAATATTTAAAAATCTTTTTGCTGTAATTCAAAATATTTATTTCTGAACATCCTTGAAGTGTTTTTCTCTGCTTTTCTTAATGGGATGTTTTAAGTGGACATTGGAAAAATGTAACTTCTGTTGGAGGAGTCAGAGGAAAGGAAAAATACTGTAGTGAGTGAGGGGAAATGAATAGCAAACTCTAACATGAGATTTCGTAAACTTTGCCAACAACAGAAACACCACCACCATATTCACCAACTTTGTTGCTATGTCACTCTTCAGTAAAAAATGTTTAAAAAGCTATTTACTATGATTGTTCTAAAGGGAATACATGAAACAATGTCTCAATTGCACTAATTCTTAGTGCTCTAACTGGTGAAATGGTATGAACACCCTGAACGCTGTCAGAGTTTGGGTGTTAAGAACCTGATTTATTTTACATTAGCTTATGAGTAGGCACATTCATTTTTGCCTGTTAGTTATAGCATTGACAAGTATTGTAAGCTGTCTCTTTAGAATTAGTATTATCAAGAGGAAGCTTTTTTATAATCTCTTCTTAATAAATTACCAATAGTGAGGAGCTGACCCAAAACCTGAGGCTTGTCTTCATGCTTACCTGTCTTCATTGCTTGTTTATAATTAATGTGCATTTCTGTGTGTGTGTGTGTATCTCATTCACTATGTATGTTCATACTTGTTTCTGCAGTAAGTTTGTGACTTCCTAGGAATCAAAGCTCTCAATTGGGTCTTCATTGCCATGGGTCAAAGATACACCTGCCTGGTTCTTGATTTTTTTATTTTTAATACCATACAGTTGTCTCTAGGGAATGAAAATCCAAAGAAGCTAGAAATGTGATGAATGAAAAATTAGAATAGTGACATCTGTGTTACGTAAGCTATTCTGATGTCAAATATGTTTGTGAAGTCAGAAGTAGTCTCTAGGAAGTTCATGTTTATAACTACTACTGTGAATCATCTGTTTTACTGCAAAGAAAAATGCAAGCTGTATTGTGTAAATGTTTTCCTTTGTTTAAATCACTTCTGCTACCTGAACAGAATCTGCTGTTACTTACTAAGCCTTGGAAGATTAAAATACTTTAGTATCTAACTTGGTTTTGTTTTCGTATTGTAGGTTTTGACTTTTGCCTATAAGCATGCATTGGTAAATAAAATGTATGGAAGAGGTCTCAAGTTTGCCACAAAACTTGCAGAAGAGAAGCCAACGAAGGACAACTTGAAGAACTGCATTCAGGTAAGGCTTATTTGGTAAAGTGGCTATGTTCACACTGAATAAGCTCAAGTAAGATAGAAGTTTTTGAATTTTTGATACCTTTTATATTGTAGAACTTGCTGAACTTAACATTTTAACTTTATCCATGCTTTTGTGGCTTGGCCTCCATTTTTAATAGTGGTTTCTTCTTTCTTTTTCTAGAATAGCTAGGTTGTGAGTAACTGTCATTTTTAGAAGACCTGCTTTCCAGAACTTACTTTGGGGCATAAAGAAAGTAGACACAACTTAGCCAAAGATCTTCTGCATATTTAAAATCCCATTAGGTTGCTGTTTAACCGCTGCTGGTTTTGCTATTATTAATCACAATTATTGCTAGGAGAATATAGGTGGAGAATTAATGGGAATTACTGTAACCACTAGGGCAAAATTTTTGTGCATTGAGTTAAAAGGCGGTGGCTCGTACAGAATGGTTTTCTTTTCCCCCTTTCGGGACTAAGTAATTCAAAGATCACCAGTTCTCCAATCTGTTACCTTTCTGTTAATAGAGATCTTTAGTAAGATGTTGATATCAATGCATTTTCAATTACAATTTCATTATCAATATCAGTTTTCTTGATGTTTGCTTTTTTTCTTCAGCTAATGAAGTTGCTTGGATGGACTCATTGTGCAACTTTCACTGAAAACTGGCTTCCTGTCATGTATCCACCTGATTATTGTGTGTTCTAGAAAACCAACAATTGTAAACTTCAAGTGATTTTATAGGGGGCAGGATATGAAAAGATAAGTTTGACTTTTATTGGAACGCATGTTTTCATTACTGAATGCTGATTATTAAATTGTGTGTATTTATCAGTAAAGGCACCTGGGTACAGCTTAATACCTGTTTAACCTAACCCCTGTCATCAGGGAGTTTCCCTATTGTGCATCCCATTGCTGGCAATGGATGTGCCAGAACTGCCAACAGCGAGGATTTGGAATTAGGCTGGAAAGGCTTACTGCATGCATTAGGTTCTTAACTGTTACTTTTAACTGCAAACCTGTAAAAGCTCTGTATTTTTTACAGTAAACTGAATTTTAACATGTTTGATCTTAATTTCAATTGTATGAAGGCCTTAAAGCTACTTCAAGAGTAGCTAAAATCTTATTTATTAGACTAAAGTAACGGGACATCATTACCTGTATTGTTTGCAAGAGTTTACATTTAATTTTTTTTAAGAAAAATTCAACCTCTCAATCTGTTACAATGTGTAACTCAGAATTGCTGATGCATAGGTGCTCTTGTAAATCTTCATTTTGGAGTGATTTCAGGCAAACTCAAAAATCCATGTGAAGTTGAGTATCAGGACAGGCTGATACATGTATAAAAGTGCCAGATAGTTAAATCTTGATCAGGTATTGTAAAGCTATACATATATGTTTAATAATGTTACAAATGTAAAACACAGCAGAATAAATGTGCAGAGTTGAAGATCAAAAAAACCACCATGTGCACGCTGATACTTTTAAAAGATTATTTTATAATTAATAAAAACAAATAATGAAGCTGGAAATTGTATTGCTTTCTGAAAGAGTATATAAATGAAACTTGCTGAAAGAAAACACCTTACAAAGAACAGAAGTTCAGTGCAGCCCAGAAGATCAGTGCTTTCAGTTAAAGCCTTTTTACTAACTATTGCTACTAACATTGTTCCTTCAGCGGAGTGAACTTGGTCTGTTTGAACAGGTCATGTGTATCGACCAGAGACAAATTGCTGTATCATTTGTCTTGACAGTTTTTTTTTTGTAACTTGTAATGCAAAACTCAGAAACAACAGCAACTTTACAAACACGAGTGCACGGGAGGTGCACCGTAATGCTGCAAAACATTCCAAACTGTAAGGTGCTGCCATGAAATCAAAATTAGTAATAGTTTTCTATTTTAATTCGCTCTTACTGTGGCTTTAAGCAGCTTGACATTTGATTCTGGAAATTCTGCTAGAATGGTTGTGTTAAATATATTGCAAATTTTTTCCAAAAATTCATAGTCTGTGCTGAATCTGAATTTATTTGCCCATAGTAATACTGTTCCTGGCTTACAAAAATACACCATTGTTGCTAGCAGGGGGTCCAGAGCTGCATGGTAGTACACAACATCAGTTGCCAGTATGAAATCATAATGGTAAGTTGATATAGGGAAGTCTTCATTGAGGCCTTCTCCCCACACCAGTTTTCTCACTTCAGGTTTGTGTATATTCATGTTCTGTGTATTTCTTGAAATATTATACGAGAGATTTTCAAGAACTTCAGGCAGATCAGTAGCTGTAACGTAAGCTCCTAAAGAAAACACGAATTTGTTTCAATTCATAGGTACGTAGTTGAACATTATATATATATAAAAAACTTTATCTACATAACTTCCCCAGCTTCCCCCTCATGAATAACTAGCGTAGTTACTTTATTAACAAAACAGTATTTTACAACACTTCTCATTTTTAAAAAAGCAGTGACAAACAAGGCTTCACTGCCTTGAAGCGACAGTGGCAGATCTAGATCATCTTTCACAAGAAATCCAAAAGGAAATGAGAATTTACTAACCTAAGATACAGGCCACAATGGAAACCAAGCCTGTTCCAGCACCAATTTCCAGAACTTTTTTGTCTTTGAGGTTGAATTGTTCTTGATTTGATTCCAGATACTGAGATAAAGCCAGTGCCTAAAACAGTTAACACATATCCATAAGAGGGTAACAGGTAAGTTGCACAAAAATTCATTAGATGTTTTTATACAGGGTGTGTTTTTTTTTAATACAGTGAAAAAACACTGAAGGCTGTAACATAAAAATGTAATATGGAAAGAATTATCATGTGTCCGTTTTTTATATATTGAAAAAAAAAATTTAAACCAGCTTATTTTTAATTTTAGGTTTATGGGGTATGGATTTGCTACACACTTCTGTACACTGTGAGTCCTCTTGACAGCTCAAGATAGGCAGTGCTTAGATGTGAACCACACAGTCAGAACAGCAAACGAGGCTTAACAATATGTAAAAAGTAATGTTCTGGTTTATTGTCATGAATGTTATGGTTTCTTATCACTGTCATAAAGTAGATTCAGGCTTTTTTTGAAAACCGATTTTTTTACTTGTTTGAATTTTTTTTTTTGCAAAGGAAATATTAAAAATTTGTTACCTACCAGCTCAACACTTGTCTACTGATAGTAGTATAAACTTTAAAAAAAAACAAACAGAACTGCACTGTATGGAAGTATTGCTTATCAGACCTTTGTAAATATTGATAGAACATAAATTGGCTGTTTATAAACAACATAAACCGATGCCAAAGAAACTAACTCCCCCTTTTTGCTTCTCTTCTTTAGAGTTGTGTTACTGTTACTGTTTTAACTCTTGTGCTTTTCATAATGCAACACTGGCTACCTGCTCTGGGAAAGCTGACAGCTAATGAATCACCCATCCAATTTGTGGAACCTCTCGATTTTCTTGGAAAGTTTTACCATCTGCATTCTGACACCTAATTAATGTGAGGACTGATGATCTGACATTTCAAAATAAGATACTGTTTCACCCACCCATATGCTTTCTTTTTCTCTATTGTTCTGAAATTGTCTGCCATTTTCTGTGAGCTTTTTCAATAAATGTGGATCTGAAAACTTTTGAAATCTTAATTTTCATGTCTTTATCAGTTGACCCTTTCTTCCCTCAAAGGCAGTTTTCTCAGTCCACATAAAATTCTGTTTTTAAGAGCAGGAGAAGCAAAGACTGAGAAAGAACTGTTTGCGAGTATGGTTTTCCATACTGCAATGGGACTGTTCCAGCTGTTCTTTAAAAGAAGCATATTTAATTGTTTTGAACTCCTTTATTTAACCTCTCACAATTTTCTTTTTCAGCCTCCTTTTTGTACTGCTGTTTGTTTGCTTCCCAACAGCGAGTGATTGGAAACACGGAAAAAGCTGAACGCTTCTTCCTGAGTTCCCTTTCTTAATTTTTTTTCAATACCCGCATCCAGTGTACAAATAACCCCGGTGCCACGGTTCTCTTGGTGTGAACTGTCAGATTCGCATAAGGCAGAGCTTTCTGCTGAAGTACTTCACAGCTCCGTTCTGCGTAGGGAAACCTCTGCTGTCAGAAGTGTCATCTAAGAAACCCTCCTTAATATTTGTGTGCCGCTCTCACAGCCACGTCTCTCTGGCTGCTGTATCGTGTACTTACCCCCGGCCACACCACGGCTCCGAAGTGTTCTATGGACTCCTGGATGACGATCTGATGGCCAACGTATGTGTAGTGCTCCTTATCAAAGTAGTGGGAGACTCTAGGAACCCAGTTCTGCAGTATTGTAAGAGTTACTGGTGAATCTGTGAGAGAAAAGACACGATCTGTGGTTTTATATGGGGGTTTTGTGAAGATAGTACATAGGCACGTGGACTAGGGAAGCTGCCAGGCCATTGGCCGCAAGACTGGTTGTGGTCCAGATGTGGATGGTCGGGATGGCCAGGGAGTGAAAGGAGCAGTGGTCGCCTCCGAGTGTTTGCATGGGCAATTTACAGAAATGAGCCTTTTAGAAAAATCTACTAACTCAGATAGAAGACTTCCAGGAACAAGTTAGCTCGTATTTCGGGGTGCGCCCTAGTTCACACTGTGCTAGAGTGTACCATGTAGGGCTGTGTGCTGTAGTTTTCGGTTGTGGGGCCAACAGATCCAGAACTTTAAGCTGCTTTTGACAAAAGAAGGATTTAACTCTGACATTGAAGTCTAGATATAAGGAAGAAATTCTTTACAATGAGGGTGGTGAAACATTGGAACGGGTTGCCCAGAGAGGCGGTGGAGGCCCCGTCCCTGGAAACATTCAAGGCCAGGTTGGATGGGGCTCTGAGCAACCTGATCTAGTTAGCAGTGTCCCTGCTCCCTGCAGGGGGGTTGGACTAGATGACCTCTAGGGGTCCCTTCCAACCCAAAGCATTCTATGAAGAAAACCTAGTTCTCTTTAATGGTTATCTTTTAACTACTCTTCCACAAAATCAGGGTTGTAAGATACTCTTTCATGTGGACAGATGCGGTGCTGTTCGGGGAGCCTCGGTACGACGGCTGCGGTAGCATCCCTCCTCGTAGCCAGTAGGCTTGTAGGTGAGATTTTGCAGGTCAGCTCTGCTGAACTGCTCCACCTGATCTCGCTGAAAACAAGGACGCTGTTCTGAAGGACTGTCCTGCTGTTGGAAGCCTGTTAGCAGGATATGCGTAGATGATACAAAATCGTCTTTAACCGCAAAGAAAAAACTTGCTCTGGCTTGCATGGATTTTAATGGATACCTGGAGTCCTCGGTAGGTGTTTGAGCAATTTGGCCTGTTGAAATTCATAATATCGCAGCTCCAACAGTGCCAGCCCAATTAATGCGTATTATAGCTCTGATTGTAATTGAGAAATAATTCTTAAATGTCTAAATAAAATCCAGAGACCTTTTTAAACAGGCACCTTAATAATGGAGGTAGTCCTTTTTGTAGATTTATCTGATAATAAATACAAACATAAGGGGAAAATGGTGGAAAAAAAAACCCAGAGAGCAAAAGAAAAAGTGACACGGTGACATCTGCTACTTGTAGACTGAGGAAAAGGGAAGTATGAAGTGCTAGCGTGCCATGGCAATTGCAGTGTTTAAATTGGATTAAACCTGAGTTGGATTCTGCCGTTGAAGATGCACACTTGGAGCTGCACGTGCAGGTTTCAGAGCCGTAGTGCTCTTCACAGGTTTCTTCTTTCTCAGCTTGGCAGTCCATTACTCTTTGAATTTCGTTGCGGAAGGGTGGCTGCTGCGCAGTGATCATGGCCAAAGATCTGAAACAGAAGGGGGAAAATAATCTTGTAAAAGCTTGAGGACGCGCTCTCTGTACGAGATGTGGTTGGAAGAAGACGGTGGGCTTTGGTTTTGGGAGGGTTTTTGATAACGGGTTGGAGGGACGGGAAGCCACGATGAGAGGAGACATCCCCACTCCACTGGAAGTTGCTGCGAGCACTTTCTGGTAATTCAGTAATACTACAGAGTTTTTATTTTATTGTGTTTATCATATTTATTATTTTATGGGGTTATTTTATCATTTATGCAAAATGACCGAGCGGATGCCACTAATCAGTATGAAAAGCTGCTTGCACAGTGCTCCTATCAGTCGAAGCAACAGCTGAGAGAGAGGAACTGTCTTTTAATGTCCGTGACTTCTTACCTCTGCACCTTACTGTTTCCTAAAGAACTTGGGACTCACGACAAAAGGGGTTAGTTTGCTGCAGCCAGCGCTCTTGATTTTGTCTCCTTGCATACAGCTGCCTTCTCTTCTCTGCCTTTTCCTGCAGAACAGCTAATTGAATTACCCTGAAATGCAGTGAACTGCAGGGCATGCGGGTTGCAGTCAGGAAACAATTGCGGTGAGAAGTTTGGATGGGTGAGCTGTTTTGGAGAGCCCTGCGTCTGTTGTGAATGACTGCATCTTCAGTGGAAGAAGGAGCTGCGTGATGCCAGCTAACCAGCAGTAGAAGCAGGAGCAGGACTGGATCTAAATTTGCCTGGGGAGAAATACCCCAGTGAAACTTTCCGCTTAACTAGAGTTTTCTTCAGTGGTGGCACCTATGTGTGCACATACCCACATGTACACATAGGTGTATAAAGAGAAAATGGTTCATAACTTGCTCTGGCCAGAGGCTGTACAAGTTCACCCTTCCCACGTATCGCGGTGGCTGGGGAGTGCTACGGTTTTGTCCATCATTGGCCTCGCTCTGTTTGGTTTTTAGGAATGCATACGTGTGCGCTCTCTCCAGCCGCGTGCACTGCAGAGAGCACGTTGTGTAATTTGGGTTGCATCATGCTGCAGGTGGCTGTTCTAGATAGCCTGGTCAGAAGGGGGAGAGGTTTGGCAGCAGCCGGGAGGTTCAGCAATGCCTGCAGGTAGTTTTTTAAAGAGCAGAGTGACTGCTGACTTGTGGGGGTGGTTTATTTGCACACATGATATCAACACCATTGCCGTTTTAGTGATACCTGATATATTCCTTCTTGCTACCCTGTTTATTCACAAGGACTGGATTTATGTTCAAACAACTCAAGCACTGCGTCTGTTCAGTCGTACTGTTTCAGAAAAGAGAGTACTTGTAAAGTAACTTGATTTCTGCAGATTTTTTTTTTAATTATTATTTTATTTTATTTTATTCAGAGGGCCTCCATCTAGCTAGTAACAAGTTCTGGCTACGCACCTCTTGTGTATAATTTGAGGTAAGATGATGGTAGGTAAGAGACTGAGGATAATGCTGCAGTTACAGCATTCCCTGACGCATGAGGGAATGCATCCCTGTTCACGTTTCACAGGTGGAAGCGTGCCTCCTTGCAACAGCAATGGTTTCTGTGCAATCTCATATAATCAAAAGTACACTTCCAGTTTTCCGCAATGCCTCTCTTTCATATCTTGAGCTAGAAGAAAACCTGGTAATGTTTTAATGTTTCAGGAAATCTCTGGGAAAATATATTAAGACTTTTGTAATTAGCAAGGTGTGTAATGAAAATAGAAGAATGTCAGAACTGGTGATGGCTACAGCCAGAAAACACTTCCTTGGAGACCCAGTCTTTTGAACATTCCATGTTTAAACATGCAAAGCTCTACATTTTCAAAGTTGGGTTTGGTTTTGTTGTTGTTTGCTTTTTTTTTTTAATTTGGTAAGGCTCTTGTACCATGAAATCTGTACTATTGAAGTGAAAGGCCAGTCCTGAAATTGCAAAGCAGGGGGAAACTTTGCATTGTCCAGTACCCTTATATGTAAAAAACAGAAAAGCTTGTTTAATGAGTAAACTCGTTCACTCGTCAGTTTGGGCAGGAAGTGATCCCTCTGTATTTTTTTTTTTCTTTGCTTAGATATGTTCTTACTGCAGCAGGTCAGAATTTCAGCTGGCTGTGCATAGCAGTGCATACCCCAAGATAGCTCGGAAACAAGCTTCGTAAATATATACTTGTTGATCCACTGTTAAGTACTTGCAGTAAATATAACTGTGTTTCTGATCATGAGAGAGAGAGAGAGAGAGACCCTATTACCACTCATTCAGTACAAACTGAGTTCTGAGCTAAATTAGACATGTTGCATTAATTTTTCGAAATGAAGATTGCTGTGCTTTCTCCTGCTCAGTCCTTTGAGCTCCTCTAAATGAGGAGTCTGCTTAAATATTTACAAAGATGCTTTGTTGTTTTTATTAAATCCCTTCTTACAGTGGTCGGGGGGTCTAGAAGATGCCTAGCGGTTACACTGGTACTGTAGTGAGACTGGTGTGGTCCTTAAGTCTGTCAGTTGCCCGAGTTCTTGGGTGGTAAACTGGGGGATAAAGATGATGCACTTTGCACTTGTATGTCACCTAACACACGGGGTTCTGGTTTGTGGCCGGGGCTTCTAGATGCTGTAATATCTTTCCATAGGTGTAGTTCTTGCAAAATAGAAAGGTGGTGTTGGGTTTTGGTTTGGTTGTGGGGTTTTTTTAATACAGCTTACTACCATAACTATTAATTATGTATTTCATAAACTGGAGTAAAAAGTAAGGTTTTCTTTAGCTGCAAGCTACAGGACAGATTTAGTCTTATAATTGCAAAAGTTCAGGTAGATTAGCATCTGGTAGATTAGCATCTTGGCCTTCATGATGCCCAGCTTTATTTTATGATTTTAAATGACAAAAGGTACCTGAAGACTACAGGCATGAGTGAGTACCAAGTAAGCTATTTGCAAATAGGTGGTGTTTTGCGTTGTTACGTACCCTATGTGTAATATGGTCAAGCTGCTGCTCTGCTTCCAGAATTGTAAATACGGACGTTTCTTAGTATCAACATTTTTCTGATCCATATTTCACTGAAAATGGTGCATCTCTAAAAGCATTTTGATTTAATACAGTAATATTGCAACCAAAATCTGTTCCCTTAGAAAATGTTGGCTCTTCCTGAATGTTAGCAGCTGATTTCTTTGCAAAATGATCCCAAAGGGAAATCATCATTAAATTCTGTGCTTTGCAAAGTTTTTAAACTGTATTGGCTTCATTAATAGTCTTAAACTGTTGTGAACAAAACAACTTGTAAAATCACATTTGATTTCTTCAGAACCTAAGCAAGAAAGAATAAATCACAAAATTATATCTATTTGACAATGCCGCGGAAAACTAACAAGGTAATTAGACACTGAAGGGCAAGTTGTAAGGCGACAATAAACCCTAAGGTAACAGTTTATCCCCTATAAGAATGAAATTTGTGCTGCCTAACTTCCAAAATCCATTGCTTGGAAAGAGCTTTTCCAGTCTTAGCTACGTGGCCCAAAAAAAAAAGTAGGTTAGCGAGCAGTACTGTGTCACTGGGTCTTCAGCTGTAAGCACAACTCCGCTGAAACAAATTTCTCTCACCTCCCCACGAAGTGACGCGGCATAGTCTGTTCTAGTCTGAATTACTTGGGCAAAAGCCAGCTCCGTTTGCTCACATGGGAAACGCAGCGTGCTCTTTGCGAGACAGGGCTTAGCCGTGCACTCACACCATACACAAACGTCCGTCTGCCTTAGAGCTCATGCACTTCTCTCATGTTCTCATGCACTAAATAAAAAGTATTGCAAAAAGATGAACGTAAATGCTAGGAAATAAAGGAAACGTCAGTGCTAGGAACATCGCTATAGTAAACCTATGCGATATGTGAGTCTGCAAGGTAAATGCATCCAAATACTGAAACCCAGCAAGGAGAGTCCCTCCTCACGGAAGAGCAGGGGTTAGGTAAGCTGCACTTTGTCGGCTCACACGGCTGACCTGGAATAGAAGGATTCGGGCAAACCTATTTCCTTCGTTAGTTAGCAGAGCGCGGGGCGGCACGCCGGCCGGGGTGAGCTGGGCAGCTCTGGGGTTACCTGCTGTGGCGGAGGGCGCTGGAGGCTTCCCGTGGGCAGATGCATGCTCCAGAGGTTTTTATACAGGCATGCACCTGGAGGGAATAACTCTGCTCCGACCAGTGGGATCGCAGGCTATTTAGGGTAACATTACCAGGCGGCAGTGCTTGAGGAACTTACTGTGTTACACTAAACTCTTCCGCGTTTGCAGTACGAAAGGAAAATGCTCTTCGGCTCTCACGTCCCACACCTACCACCCTTCGGAAATAAAATCTTTGCTTCCACCAACCTCTTGCTCCGGTTTTGCAGATTTAAGCGTTCCCTGCGTTTGCCTTACGGGCTGCGGTGCTGACCCGGGCAAGCAACTGACCGTGGGCAAACCGGCGCACAAATAACCTGTGTGTGGCCGCTTGCCGCCAGCCCCAAGACAGAGAAAAGTTCCTGAAGCTCCGACTGCCAGGGAAAGGTCAAGCCTTGCTTGCCCTGCTGAGCCTCTGGCTGGGGAGGCCCTGCGTACCCTCCCCTGTGTCCCCCCGCCCCCGCCACGGAGAGTGTGGGGAACCGGCGGTCCCGAGGAAATAACAGCTTTCCCCTCATCTTCTAGTGCAGGTCGTAACCATAGGAAATATTTTATCTACTGAAAGAGAGAGAGTGCGAACACGAAAAATCACGTTTTCATCAGCAAAAATCTTGCAGTTGCTTGTTTTAAAAGAGCAGCTGGGTATTACAGACGTCAGCGCTAAAGAACTATGTATTCCTTACACCTTTCGAGAATTCGAGAGTTTTATGTGCATCTAGCACTTTGCTGCCCTTCTGCCCTCCCTTTTCCTTCTTGGAAAAGCTTCTGTAGAAAGAAATTCAACTGGAGGGTAAGAAAAATTTAAAAGGAACTTCGAAAGTCATAAAGCTAGGAAACAAGCCCCAGCTAATTAACAAATAACTGAAGGTTGGCAATAGAAGTAAGGTGCGGAGGGTGTGGGAATGTAGATTTTTTTTTTTAACTCTGCCTACAGGCATTTGCATCTTTGGATGAGCAGCTTTTGAATTCAGGTGATGAAGAGCGGCAAAGGAAAAAAGGGAAAAAACGAGCCTTTTCTGTCACGGCGGCTGTGTATTTCACGCCTTAGCCGCTGCATGTCTCTGGCAGTCACACCACGTACAGGAGACACTCGGCTGCTCATTCAAATGCTCGCCAGTCTCTTCCCTCTGAAATCTGATAGTTAAAAGACAGGGTTTGTTGTTCTTTTTTTTTTTTTTTTTTTTTTTTTTCCTTTAAACACTTGGGACCTAGTATTAAGTTATTAACTGTGTTATGTTGATGTCATAAACATTGCATTTCACGGGCCCGCCTGACTTCACAAGCCGTGCAAGCGAGCGCTCCCGAGCTACGTCAGTAGCTGTTATTAGAAAGAAAAAGGCAGATACGCTGGTGTTGGAGTGACTGCCAATACCCCTTTTTAAAGACGTGGTCTTTTTAGCAGGCACGTTCCCGCTGTCATATTTATTGTATTTGTCACCGGGGGTGAATGTAGCTCAGACTGGTGCTGCTGTTAAAGTTCTTTGGCAATGGGACTGATGCTGCACATAAATAGTTTGGTTTGGTTTGGTTTTGTTTTTTTTTTTTTTTTAAATCAGAGGAACCGGCTTACTCGATATTGTGTCTCTTGCGTAAGCAACTGAAAAGGATGGCAACTGTAGGGACAGTGCTGCAGCTTATTTACAAATCGTGTGGGTATGGCTTCGTTTCTTGTTCATGAGTGATGCGGGAAGCAACCCTGATGCTCTGAAATGTGGCTGCTGTTGACGTATATTTACTATATAATTTCTATAAATGCTTCTTGTAGCTGCAGTCTATCTCCAAGCATTTCTTGTTTAACACTGAAAATGAGTGTGGTCTGGAGGTGTAGCCCTATGGAATTAAAATTTCTCCAGACTTTTGTGCGTAGGCAGGCTGGGGGGAGTACAGCACCGCAGTCCTGGGTGTAAAAGGGCAATTTTCACTTACTAGCTCAACGTACAGCTCCACAAAGCTCTTAATTATTCGGTTGGCTTCTCCGTTTCTGTAAACACTCATGGGATTTCCGCTGTCTAGACCATCTGTGGAAAACAAAACGCGAGAGGCTGCCAAAATGCAATGAAGTAAATCAAACTTCAGATATTTTTAGAATGTATTTTTTTTTTAATGCCAGTTGTGTGGCTTGGGTTTTGGGGGTTTTAAGTCTGGTTGTACAAAACCTAATTGGTGGTGTGGGTTGGTTTTTTTTTTCATTTTTAGTGCTATCAAACTACCAGGAAAGCTGGGAAGAGGATTCTTCCTAACTCTGCCCACCACTGAACTCAGCAGTAGCATCCTCTTCAGTGTACGGGCAGAGCAGAACTATGTTCTTATTACTGTATTCTAGATCAAAGCTATTTAAATTTAAAAGTTCCTCTGTTGTTAGTAGTAGCAAGTTCAGTGTAAAATGATGTAAAATTCTCAAAACCTCGATTAAAAGATTGTGAGAAATAGGTCCAAACCTGTTAAGGTCTTCTCTGAACCCAGTGGGAGCAAAAAGCTTGCCAGATTTCTGCCAAAAGAAGGCAGAGTTGGACTAGAAAAGTTAAAAGGTAATTCTTATCAATGAAATGAATAGTGACGAATCGCCAGGACCTGGGCGTTAATTACCCAGAGCGCTGCAGTGAAATTCCCGGCTCCGAACCAGAGCGTGGTGCCTGCTGCCGGCAGTAGGCTTGGTGGCAAAGCACGGGAAACTGTACCGATGCGGGGCCTCTTTCTGAGGGGGTCTCGGGGGGGACCTGGGGAACGGTGGGCCAGTTAGTCTGGCACCGGTGCTGGGTAAACTGAGAGGAAGGGTAGCGGTGGTGGTAGCCGGCAAACAGTAAGGCACAGCGTGGGAAAGGAGGGAAGGTTTTGTGTGTTCTTTGAAAGCGCCGACAAAGGTGTAGCGCAGGGTCCTCCGGCCGGCATGGATTTCCACAAGCTTTTGGTAAGGGCACTCGCTAAAGATCCTGATGGAAATTAAGCTCTGCTGGGATAAGAAGGGGGAGTGGTCTTGGCTTCTAATAATTTGTTAACGGCAAGGAGGCAATAAATGGTCAGGTTTACTGTGTCCCATGGGGGGCTGTGCTGCTGCCGAGTGTGTTCCTAAAACCTAACGGGAAACGAAGGAAATAGCGTGGTGACAATAATGTAGAATTATTCAAAATAGTGACAACAAAAATAAGCTGGAGAGTTCCAAAAGGATTTCTGACACGTTACGGGAGGTGATGATATGATAAATGAAATTCGGTGCTGACAAGTATAACATAATACACAGGGACAGCCTCTAACGCGGTACCACCTAGGAAAGAGATCTTGATGGCACCAGAGGCAGCTGTATAAAAATACTTTTGCAAACCGTATTGGTAATCAAAAACATAAAGGGACTGTTGGGTTTTTATAAAGAGAGGAGAAAAAAAACTGAAACAACGTAAAAGGAACATTGCTTTTCCACTGCAGGAATTCAGAGTTTGTCTCGCACGTTCGGTGTGTGACTCAAGTCTTGGATTAAAACGTTCAGGGTCTCAGAGCTCCTGTAGGATTTGCCGGAGGTCCTGGGTGGCCTGGTGAGTGACGGAGGAATAATGGCAGGCTCCCAGTTGTGGAGCAGATTCTCTTCATCCTTGTTGCTGGAGGCATCTGCTGGGCTTTTCTGGATGTGGAAAGCATGTTTGCATTCTCCAAATCGCAGGGACTTCTTAGCTGCTGTCAGCAGCCAGCTAAATGTCTACAGCGTGGTGTTGACAGGGCCTGTGCTGTTTGCTGAAGGACAAACAACTACAAGGTGAAATTTGTTCCGGTTAGCATCTTCAGGATTTGGGTTTTGGGTTTTTTTTTTCCTATTCCTTATGGCTGTGGGATGAATCCCCGGCTTAAAGTTGCTAATACCCAAAGGTAATGCAGGTGGCTTTCCTGAGTAGTGGCAGCCGAAGGTGTAGAGCAACACAGAATATGATCCTCAAACCAAACCCACTCTTTTCATTATTTTAAAAATGAGAGATATTTTCTCCTTGGTACAAGCCTTCTTTTGCTCGCCTAGCTGAGGGGACTCAGGGATGGGGACCCAACCACTTCCCTGGGCAGCCTGTCCCAGTGCTTGACAAAAACATTCCTTTTTTTTCTTTAATTGATTTGCATGGTAGGTTAGGCTTAACCCTATTTGCACATACATAAGGTGACACACATCTCAAACAAGGGAGCAAATCAGAGCATTGCCAGATAAGTAATTACTTAAAATTGTGCTACCACATAGGGAATCTTCACGTTCAGGAGCTCAGAGGAATGAAGAAATGCTCCCAGATTTGATGCTGAGAAGAGGGGTGCCAGGCTGTGCCCACCCAGCCAGCAGCTCCCGCCTGCCGCGCGTTTAAAGCCTGCTCCGTCCTGCCCCGGCAGCGCAAGCCCCGCGGCTCGGTGCAAAGCTCTTGGGGAAACCAGCACTGCATCGCCTGGGCTCGCTGCGGGGACCAAGGTGGTGAGGAACATAAACTGAGTGTTTATTTTCATCGTCTGACCATCCTCTGTGCCTTAGGCTGCTGTGGGTTGGGCTCGAAGG